GAAATTTGCCCAAAGCTTGTGCACATTCTAGATCTAACGTGACAGGGCTAACTCCCAGCACTCACACGAAAAAAGACCTTCTATAGAATATCGAAAATCAACCAAAGTTCTAAATGACACAAGACATGATCAGAAAGATGCCCAATCAAAGTCAAATCATGGTCGCAGACAACCATCTGTGGATGGGACACAAAACGCTGCAAAAAGAGATCAATCATGGTATGTACACAACAAGCTTCTCATCAACTTTAGTCAAAGAGCTTCTTCATGCCCTTGTGTGCCAGCTCAACGCCAAGGAAAGTGGCGGCATTAGCAGGCACCGCACGAGCGAGAGCCGGTCCAAATCCAGGGAAGAAGGCCTTGAAACCGCCGCTAGCGTAGACCGAGCGGATAACACCACTCATAGTAGGCTTGCCCGGCGCGCTCTGCAGGCGGGACTTGACGGTGTCAACGGGGAAGACAGGGATCCACATGGCAATACCGGCAGCACCACCAGCGCACACAACGGCAGATAGGGACAGCTCGCCCGTCACATTGCCTTCGACATCCTTGGGGGTCAAGGAGCGCTTGATGTACTCATAGGCCGCGAAGTAGGCGGCGGAGCCGGGGCCGTCACGCGCCAACGTCATGGCGCTACCACGGAACACGCTGCGAACACCACCTTCCTTGTACAGCTGGCGCACGACATCCATACCACCGGAGTACTTGGGCTTCTCACCCGGGGCCAGAGTCTTCTGGCCCTGGATCTGGAGGAGAACCTTGACACGCTCGAAGGGTGCTGTGATCAGGGTCATGGGGATGGCGGAGAAGAAACCCGCAGAAGAGATCTGTGCAATGGAGTACTGCGGGGTATCGTTCTTGATGGGAACAGTGGAAAACTTGTTCACGAGAGTCTTGCCCACGTCGTAACCCTAAAGTTTTGTTAGCATCGCTTCCAACCAACGCTCGCAGCTGCTCTGGGCTCCAAAATTAAATTTCTTAAAAAAACGTACCCAAAAGCTGACAGCAACTGTGAGACGGGACTGGTTAGCTCATAACTCGGCCAATTGCTACACAAGAGCCATTATAGCTGATGCGGGAGACTTACACATGGGAGTGACTCCAACAAGCGGTGCGGAGACACCAGCATACAAGCCCTACGTAACCATTGTCAGTTCAGTCGCGAAATATCCAATGTGCTTGTGATAATCATACTCGGGCCAGTCCTTCACGGGCAACTGTCTTCCTGACCACATCCATGGCACCCGAGTAAATGCCTTTCTCTGCTGTCTGCAGGCGCACCTTCACCAGATCAAACGGGTGTCCGACGATCACAGCGCAGAGACCACCAGCGGCACCAGCTGCAAGAGAGCGGAGCTGTACAATTGTCTGATTGACAGCCTTTGTCTCGACGACCTTGATCTCATCTTTCAGCTCCTGCGTGGGGGAGGTAGAGGTGGACATTGTGGGCGGGTCGGAGCGGGGAAGAGATAGGGATGGAGATGGAGGATGAGAAAGAGACGAGGAAGCAGAAGAGAGGACAGGATCTAAGAGTAAGACGTAAAAGTAATTAATAGTGCAATAAGAAAAAAAAAACAACGGAGATCTCGCAATGATTGAGACACCGACAAACCGAAGCCGACTGGTCTTCCCCGGACGAAGGTGTGCCTCGGCTCGGCAACGGAAAAATAGACTTCCGCAGTAGATTGCACTTAGAAAGTCTACAGTACTGTAGCAATGAATATTGTAGAGACTTTTGGAATGATTTGGTGAGCTTTTTATAGGAAGTGAATTAGGTATGGTCTTCTTATAACGTCGGGGGCCTCCGAGTGCGTTAGTCCGGGTGAACGGGAAAGCTCAAACACTCCACGTTTCCCCCGCGGAATAAAGGATGGCTGCGTTAGGACTAGGTCCTATTGCTAGATCTCTCTGTAAGATTCTTAAAATGTATATATGCAAGGCAGATATAAAGTGACTACATCGTTGCATATATGTAAGTACTTGGAAATACCTAGGTTGGATAGGATCTACCCCGTACTCCGTCACAGGTCGCAGTCACATGGAAATCCACATGCTTTTCCCAGTGTGACACTAACAATAATTATGTATGGATACATTATTACATCCATGGATCTATGCGGTCAGATCTATACATATGTATGTACCTAGATATGAAAGTATTCAAACCCAGGAAATTCGGGCATAAAAAGAGGGTTTGATTTACTATTCAACCCTTTCAGCGGAGGACAAATGCCATGATACAGATTTCATTCATTAAGCTCGGTTGACATTAAATTAACAGCTCCGTAGAGCAAAAAGAAGACAAAACATGATTGTACCCATGAACGCGTTCCATATTGTACCTATACAAACCAGACGGCGACACATGAATCATAGCCCATAAATTAACATGGAGATACATGAGAGTGGACTCTACGCCTTCACATGTGCGAAATTTACAGAGCGAGGATGGCGAACAGGCCGAGGACACCCATAGCACCACTGCCAACAGTGGCCATGGGGGCAGCGGCACCTTCACTGGCGGAGGGAGAAGCAGAGCCGGAAGCAGAGCTGTCGGGGCCGGAGCCGTTGCCAGACTCAGAGGCGGAGCCGCTGCCAGACTCAGAATCAGAGTCAGAGTCGGAGCCGCTGCCGGAGCCAGTGGAAGTGGAGGATGCGCCGGTGCTAGTCCGTGTCACCATGGAGCCGGAGGCGTCAGTGCTCTAGAGATATTGTCAGCGTGATTTTCAAGGAGAAGTTGAAGTATGTCTTACGGTGATGGTGGAAACGGAGCCAGTGGCGGTAGCGGAGCCGCTCACACCGGAGCCAGAAGCGCCAGTGCCAGTAATGCTGGCATCGGAGCCGGTGGCAGACTTGGAGCCAGAGGCGTCAGTGCCGGTAGCGCTGGCGTCGGAACCGGTGGCAGTCTTGGAGCCAGAGACGTCAGTGCCAGTAGCGCTGGCATCAGAGCCAGTGGCAGTGGAGGCACCAGCACCGGAGCCAGAGCCGGAGGAGGAGCTTGAGTCAGATCCGGAGGCAGAGCTGGAGCTAGAGTCGGAGTCGGAGTTGGAGTCGGCATCAGAGCCAGCAACACCACCTGCGATATCATGTTAGTTTACCCCATCAAGGCTTAAGAAATGATTAATGGTAGTTACGTACCAGGACACTTGGCAACAGCCATAGCGAGAACCTTCTCGGCGTCGTCGCTAGGGCAGGCCTCCTTGGTGCAGTCACGGATACCGAACTTGTAGTTGTCGCTCTTGCACAGGCAGGCGAGGTCATCAGCCTTGCAACCCAAATCGGCGGCCTTCTTGCTCATATTGGAGAGACACATGGACTATGAACGCGGCAGGATTAGCACTGAGCATGATTCAACATAATGGAGTATATGGAACTCACAGCACACTCAGAGGCAGAAGGGTCAGCGGCCATGGCGCCAGAGGCGGCCATCAAGGCCAGGGCGAGGGGAGTGAAAGACTTCATGATTGGATATTAGGGAAAGGAATTGAGGATTGTAGGGATGAGTGTTGAAGAAAGAAGAATTGGCAAAGTGGAAACTGAAAGAAATATGGAGATAGGGGGGGGGTTTTTTATAAAGAGAGCCCTGGAAACCAAAAAGAAAACAAACTCTGCATAAAACACACCAGCCACCTGCCCCAGACTATAAATTTGAGTCTCCATAGTGGACAAAAGAGGAAGAAAGTGGACGAAGTGGACGGTAGAGCCCAATCACCATGGAGGTGTGGATTGCCTCGCAGGGCCAGTTGGGATTGTTCTGCTACCCAACGTGGCTATGGGAGCGAGAGAAGATCCATTGCCTGACCTGTATGAAGTCACCACAATATTCAAATCCTGGATCTGCTCTCTGAAATGGGGGATGATCGTCCCGGAGATAGCTCACACCCATTCTCCATGCCGATCTCGTACGTTCATCCAATCGTCAGGGGGGTCCTACTCCACTGAATGAATTGGATTTCAGATTTCAGATTGTGGCTTTTCCACGATGTTCTCCAGTATTGGAGCTCTCCCATTTTGCCGATGGAGTACTCCGTGTGGCTGAAGGGGTAACCAAGGATTGATAGTGGTTCATGAGGGTGGTTCACGGGGTTCCCAAGGTTTCCTTTTCCTTTTTGCCGATCCGTACAATGTTGAGAGGTCGAAATAGGTGGGGATCAACAGATCCAAATCGGGGTTCCAGCCGGGACAACCTTGGAAGTCCCGATCGCACTATTGAAATGTGAAAACTCAGTTGCCACTAGATGTGGCTGAGCACCGCCACACTTATCATTATTATTACTATTTTCTATTACTATTTACCTGCATAGGTACTACTTACTATTACTATTAAATAATTGGTATCGATGTATTCCAAGGTTTGCATATGTGTAGAGTTGAGGCTTGTGTCAGTTTTTCAAGGGATGTCTATGTACCCCCCTACCCGGGTGGAAAGGGATTAGGAGATTTGACATTTATTAGAATTGGAATCATTTTGATTTGCATCTTCTCCTTCCTTTTTTTTTCTTTTATTCTGCTTTTTTTCTTATTTTTTCTTTCCATTAAGCTATCAAAACCTTTCGCAGATCGAAATCAAACCTCCATATTGGATGCGAGATACTACATACTCCACATTAAGATAATGCACATAGTGTTATGGAGTATACTCCGTACAGAGTAAATCAAATTTATAACCACAGAGGACCCCGTACTTCTATATAACATTAGAGTGCACAGCATATACTAACCCTCCAACCTCACCTGGGCAGGAACATTTTATAGGCTTGACATCACGTAGAATTGTGACTTATGATCAGTACCAGAGCAGTCTTATTTCCTTGCAAATCTGTTGGCATTTTGATATAATCCAGCATTATTCGCCAAGCAAGCTGTGCATATGTCTAGCAAATGCAGCGATATATGCGGACTCCGTACTCACCGGCATGTTCCCGCTGTTGTCTGAGCCTGCAACAATTGAAGCTCCTATTCGTGCAGATGTCAACGCCACTTTGAGCATAGTTTGCCTGGAAACCTGCATAAATTCTCCCTTGGTCCCCTGGAAAATTTTAGACAGCTCTATCCCTGACTCCCTGTGCCCTCAAGGCTGAGCTATCCCTGACTGACTCCCTGTCTACAAGGCCGATGTTTCTGTCAGTATAGCCGCCATGTTGACAATGGTGGTCTCTGATCTCTACTCTATAGGCTAAGCCCAATATGTACTAAGGTACTCCGTACTAATGTACTAATAATATTGACGTTACATCGAGTCCAGCGCTACTGCCTGGACCACGAGGCGCTTAGCTGAACTTCCCCGCTTCAAAAGCCCTCATTCTATGAAAACGTCCAGGGCGACCTAGAGAGTCCTAATTGTTACTGGAAACCCAGTCCTGTCTATCAAAATGGTTCTCAGAAGTTCAAACTCACCATTGACCTCGGAATTCGATGTCTTGGTACAGCAGCAGATGGACAAATGGAAAGTCCCCGGACTATCCATGGCAGTGGTTCATGGCTCCAGCACCTGGTCAAAAGTATGGAGACATGATTCACCATCAATTGATGATTACAGATCACTAAACTACATTGCAGGCGTATGGATTCGCTCAGTTTCCTGATCGCAAGATGACCGCCGATTCTCTTTTCTCTACTTGTAGCACCACCAAAGCATTCACCGCAGCAGCCATGTCTCTCGCCATCGACGATAGCAAGAATACCGAAACCCCCCTTCACTGGGACACACCAATGGCGTCCATATTGAGAGACGATTTCGTGCTGGAGAACGACTACAACACAATGCATACTACCATAGAAGATTCTCTATCGCACCGCTCAGGGCTATCAACTCACGACGCTTGTTTAAGTTTAGCGCATCCCCGGAGATCCTTACGTGAATCAGTTCGAAATTTGCGACATCTTCCTATAGCCTATGCTCCCCGCACTACATTCTCTTACAACAACAACATGTATATGGCGATATCTCATGCATTGGAACAAATCGAAGGCAGAACTCTCGGCGAGACACTTAAGAAACGCATTTGGGATCCATTAGGAATGAATGACACATATTTTTCCGTGACAGATGTCTCGGAGGACCCATCTCTTCGTCCTCGACTTGTGCAGGGCTACACCTGGGACCCAGACGCCAACACTTACATCGCAGAACCATACATGAACGATGTCGCTGTGACTGGAGCCGGCGCCATGGTGAGCAGCGTACTCGAGTACACCAAGTGGTTACGCACTATGATCTACCAGAAGGGTCCCATCTCTCCACAGGGCCACGCAGAACTCTTGAAGCCACGCACGGTGATCACGGATTGGGAGGAGCTTGTTGGTCCTCCTCCGGTCCCATGTCATCTCTACGCCCTAGGATGGTTTGTGAGTAGTTACCGCGGCGAGCCTTTGTACTGGCACAGTGGGAGTTGGGCCGGATTCGGCATCATGGTGGGCTTCGTACCGAGCAAGGCCTTTGGCTTTGCTATGATGGGCAACACGACCAATGCTCGGAATGCGCAAGTGAATATATACATGCATGTTCTGGATCAGATTTGCGGTGGATCGGGGATTCCACGCTCAGTGGGCCAGGCGCAGGCAACAGGACCAGAAAACAGGAACAGGAAGATGAAAGTCAGCTCGGAGGGTATAGAAGAAGCCATCAAACGGCTTTATCCGTCTCTACCAGATCCTGTTATTTCCCATTCTCTTCCGTTGAACCAGTATGCGGGGAGATACGAGCATCCTGCGTACAGTTCTATCACTCTATCCCTCAGAGATGGGCGTTTGGTTGCAGATCTACTAGACCGTGCTGTACCTTCCCTTATCACCCTCACCCATGCAAGCGGGGAGTTCTTCGTGGCCCATCACTACCAGCCGAAGAAAATCGGATCTCTCTCCGGTTACTACGCGACGGAGTTCATAGTGGGTTCCACTGGAATTGCCACGGCAATGGGGATGGATGTGGAACCCGCTTTGAATGGGGAAAAGATGTGGTTCGATCACAAGCACTGATTATTGATGGTTTATGATTATTCACTGGTTATATAAAATCCAATGTTGTAGGATACATGTATATATTTTATATCCGTCGCCGTAAAAAGTCGAAAAGTGGATCGGCCTGAATCAAGAAACCTCAAACCCCCTCCACGAAATGGGAAGTATATACTCCGTTCGGAGTAAATTGAAGCTTATTAACAAGTCCGTCAGACTGCCTAGGCGGCAATGCGCAAAATACGGATGCCTAACACCTAACCGTACACCGTTCACCCTCGGCGATGCCGGCGGTGCCGAACCGGCGCGGGCTGAGTCCGGTGGAGTCGAACAAAATTTTCATCTCTGCCGAACCAGAAGCAAAAAGGTAGTGACCGACGCAGGGATCGAACCTGCAATCTCTTGATTCGTAGTCAAGCGCCTTGCCATTGGGCCAGCCGGCCTCGTTATTGTGCGATTCGGCCAAATCAGATACTCGGAGGGAAGCCGAACACATTTCAGATGCTATTACCAGGCATATTGTGTGATAGAGTCTTTGATACAGATCAGTGACAAGAGATATATATAACAAAAATAAAGAAAAACGTGGCATTGGGGTATGTATGTTAATGCAAGAAAACGCCGTAAAAGAAGCCGAAAATCAGATGCCGCCGATATCGCCCAGACCGAGTCATACATTTGACTCGACAGCGTCTGTCACATAGACATGCGGCATCACGAGAGCCTTTTCAGAAACCATGCCTTCTTCCTCTGAGATAATCCGTGATCTGTCGCCTAGTATCTTTGGCCATCCAAGACACAACCCCAAGGACATGAGCAGCCGCCCGATGATAAACCCGACCAAGCAAGCCACCAGACCGGCGGCAATACCTAGCAAAGCAGGAAGAATGATGGGGCGGATGATGCGCATAAAGGAGTTCTTGTGATGGGGGTTGTGGTGAGGACGACGGTGTTCAGTGTGGTGGTGGAGGTCAGCCGGGGTGGCCCAGAAGGAAAAGAAATGAGTCTTAGATCCAGAGTCGGTTGTGGCTTTACTGCTGATGATCTTGATCGCACTGTTTTGAGCGGAAGACTTTGTAACCGGGGCTGAATTGCGGGTTGGCGCCATGGTCTTGCGCTTGGGCTTGTCGAAAATAGAACCGAATTGTGTTCTCCAGTAATTCATCACCCACGACTGGCTCTTCTGATATGAATGGCCGTCCTGGTCACTTCCACGGGCTGGTTCGACACGGATGCGGGTCATCTCGTACTTTCCATTCTGGAAGACGAGAAGGTCGACGGCTACTGCGTCCGGTGACACGAGATTGCCCTGCAGATCGAACAACTCGACTCGAACGCGGATCATATCCGCCGTGGATTCCATTTCGTCTGTGGGGAGTGGTTGGGTCTCGAGCGTGTAGGATAATTCCACGGTCTTGTCACTGGGGTGGATTTGGTTTGCGCTTTCATAGAGGGGCACATGGAGCTGCATTATCTCTGATGGAGGATAGAGCTGGTGTTCATTGGCGTATAGGCTTCCATTCTGAATGGATAGATTCATAGACTGCATTATATTAGTGTCGTGGTGATTGATTGATAAAAAATGTGTCACCTACGAGTCTTGATCTGACGCCATTTTCGAGGTCATTGGAAGAAGGAACGAAAGGGAGTCGGAGCTTGTGAGAATTGGCGGGGATGGAAGAAGCGACGGCACCGCCCAGGCAGAGGATCGCCAACAGCAGCTGCATAGTGAGAGGTATTGGGTATTATGAAGTGAAGGAATGAGAGAGAGTTAGATTGAAGAGAGCACCTGAAGAAGAAAGAAAAGAAAAGAAAATGAGACAAAGAAAAAAAGAAGAGGCTTATAAAATCGATTTAACCTTTCAGGGTTCGGGGTCCTAACTACATATGTAGGTATTGTCTAATATATGTACTCTATAATACTACTCTAGAAGAATACTACTGTACATAGTATATTCGCAGGGAAAGCTTAGCGTTGGCTTACGCCCCCACTTGAGCATGTTTCACTCATTTTAGTATTAGCTTGTTCGGGCGAATACTAGGCTATTCTTAGTATCTTTGACTCTAGCACTTTTCAATAATTGCAAGAGCCTCACCTGAAATTTTCATGTCTCAAACTTCTTTTTTTCCCTTGACAGGACTTGCCCCTGTAATCCTTCAGATCAGGCATATAAAGATTTAATAATATGTATCAGAACAGTATCTGAACGGATCCGGCATTATTTTCCTGCTGCCTAGGAATGTGCTCAATTTTCACGGAGTACCAATCCCCTACTATGGCCTAACCGGCTTTGCTCTAGCGCAATCCTTCGAAACTGACTTTCAAGTTTCTCATCTCCAACATAATCGAGGTATTTCAATGGGGTCTGCGGATGCGGAACCGTCTATAGCTATAGATCGACAATATTCAAGACATTTAGAGTGTGAACCCTAGTGTGGCAAGTCACCAAGTGATCCAAAAAGTTGCAGACACGAGCGATCGTCCCGCAAATCTGGAAAATGCATTCATTACTGGACCCTGAAAATCCCAGCCCCAACACTGGGGGATGAGTAGCGTGGCCCGAGGAGTATGATAGGATGGAAAAGGTGTCTTTGAGAGCTTCGAAATCTTGGCAAAGTAAGAGACAAGAAACCCCAGCTCCCACGGCATTTAGCCTACGTGGGCGGTTAAATACCGTACGTCGCCAAATATTGCCAACCTTAAAAGGTTCTTCCGAGGCTGTCTCAGAATGAATCATATGACTCGAAGGTCAAAGAGTTAGAGGCTATTGCTCTATTCAGAGTCCAATCGGCCTCGTCTTTGTACCACGTGGAGTTTGTACGGAGTATGCGAAGGATAGCTTGCCATAGAATTCCCATTTAATTGTCTCAGTCGGACACTTTACACCCTGCCCATCCACCAACTAGCCCTAATATTTACTAAATACCCTATATACATCGTGTCTCTAAGACAATACAAGCTCAGGCCGCCTTGTAATAGGGCGCATTTTGCCAGAACCGACAGCGTGGGTTATTGGTCAGGTCTCGCGTCATCTGGATCGTATTATTGCCAATGTTCATGAGCTCTGCACGCTGGCCATGTTCTCTGAAAACCGGTGCCAGTGGAGATTTCGGCGCGCCATGTTGGACAAAGCTAGTAAAATAGTCCTGCATGGCCAACGCCACGGTCACGTTGGCGACCCCCGAGAGCGAAGAGCTACTCCCATTGTTGTAGAAGGTATACGAGACATCCTGTCCATGAAGCGCGGGCGGTATGCTGAATTTATACGCATAGGTCTCATTGTAGAAAGCACGGTTGATATAATCGGTATTGCACTGGAAGATGAGATCGGAGATGACGAGCGCCGTACGCGCGACCGAGTCGGTGTACCCATATGAGCCGTTATAGACCGGTGGATAGAGGACGTCCAAGACAAAGTCGGACACGTTTGCTGGAGTATTCGGTGACAAGGTCTTCATTTGAATTGCCAGGCCGGTGCTATTGACGCTGTCCGGCGAAGTAAAGACCAATCCTTCGTTCGCGTTATGGCCGACCATGATGTTCAGGTTGTGGTCGAAATCGCCTCGGAGCAAAAGCTGGCCCGGCAGAGCAGGCACGAAACTGCCGTCCACAACGGGCCCGTAGGTGAACTGGCCCCACTGAGACTTGGTCGCGACCTGGTACGCATTGGCGGCGATCAATTTGTCCGATGACAATTTCCGGGCTTGTTCGATCGTGCTGACATTGAGGATCCCTAAGAACTGCTGCAAAGTGTCTTCTTGTTGCTCCTCACCAATGACTGGGACCCAGCCCGGGCTCTGCAAAATCGCTTGTTTGAAGGGTGCAGCACCCCGTGAGCCTCCATAGGCGGTAATCTGATGAAGAATTGACCCGGCTCCAGCAGACTCTCCCATAACTGTGACTCGGGTTGCATCTCCACCGAAAAGGTGAATGTTCTTATACACCCAGTCAAGAGCAAACCGTTGATCGTGGAGTGCTGCGTTGGGGGTGCCATTGGCTGTGATACTATCACCACCAAGCCAGCCAAATGCACCCAACTGGAGAGAAATTAGCACTCGCACGGCACCAAGCTAGGAATATCGTCCGACTTACTCGATAATTCATGGCAACATAGACTATCCCATCATTATTTCCCAGCCTACTGCGCTGGATCAACCCAGTCGGGTCTGAGCTGCTCTTTTCTCCCCCCACATATCCTCCGCCATAGACCCACACCAGCACCGGCGCCAAGTTCTTTCGAGATGCGGCGGTTTTGTTCTTTGTACGTTCGAATATGTGTTTGGGGACGACGACATCAAGGAATAGACAGTCCTCAGTGGTGCGTGGGTCTTGCTTTGCCGGCTTGTACCCATAGGAAGAGATGTTGGTGGATAGAGAGAAGGACTGGTTATAGAAGTAGCTCAAGAGGAACGCCGGTTGGGCATTTGTCGACCACAATGGGGCTGCTTGTGGGCATATCTTTCCCACAGAGCCATTCTGGATGTGTCCTCTGTTTTGTTTTGGGAGTATAGGTGCCTGGAATCGCAGGTCGCCAACTGGAGGTGCCGCATAGCGGATATTGCTGAAATTATAGAGGCCATGGGAGCTCTATTCCGAATGTCAGCGATAATGAAATTCAACCCCAAAAAAAAAGACTTAGCTGACATTGAATGAAATTGCTTGGTGTAGCTCATATCCCAGATCAACCACGGGTAATTTGGAGGCCAGACACGCTGAAGCCAGCGTCAGCAGTAACACAGTGATCATTTTGACCCCAGAAGAGCGGAATAGAAACGCGGGGAAGTGAGGCCGTTTAGAGCTTTCATATTAATACTAGCCAGTAACCCCGAGGTCCTCCGGATACCTTGGTAATCGTCTATGCATTTCATCCACAAGTCCGAGTGGAGTGTATGCTGGCCCAACGGAGAATGAGAGGTGTTTACGGAGTACTAGTAAACTAGTAGACTTCCCTACCAATCATCGTAAGCCAAGCTTAGCCATGTGGGAAATCTAGTCAGTGTTCCTTTTTGCGAAATGCGTGATGATGTCAAAGCGAGTCATCGCTTATAACACACCAATAAGAGATGAGACTCCCCAGAATTCGTCTTCCAATCCGTCCGCGCTACACTAAATCCGGGGTTGAGCTCCGCTCGTGTAAGGCACAGAAAGGAATTGTTAAGCACAGACTGCGGGGTACTCCGAGAACTACATACACATGTACTCCGTAGTCAGCCGGAGATTCCGATTATATATTGTTGCCTAGAATTGGTTTACTTCGTCTGTTCCACAGTTGGATTAATCCCTCAATCGTCGACCTCCCGAATCTTATACTCGAACATCTGGTTAGAAGGCACTTCATGTTCATTCTTGAGTTTCGCGGCACTCTCGGCGCCCGCTGCTGGCACACGGTACTCGAATCGTTTCCCTTGCGCTGGCACAGATCCGTCGGGCAGCGTATATGGGAAAGGCAGATATTCGGGTAATAGACCCAGCTGTACAAGTACTGTTGCTTGGTCCCATGCAATGTGTTCATGAAACAAGCGATCCCCGCGGATGTTGACTACGGATGTAAATGGAACGCGAATGTGCTTGCCGGTAGGAGGGACTCCGGGGATCCTAGGGTGAAGATGTCAGTTAGTTGCTCGATTCAATCACAGAACCAAACCACCCACATCCAGTCCATCTGCTTCACATGAGTGAAGACAAATATAAACTCGTCCACGATTCGGTCGGTGCCAACTGTCCGACTTATAAGTTCCAATGATGTATCGTCGGGGTTGTTGAAGATGAAGTGATTGAGATAGAAGTGACTTAAATGAGCCCGTCCAATGCCTCCTGTTAGGGTTGGCACATGGTTCACGTAGGGCTCTGAGACCATCGTCGCCATTGTCTTTTCGGCCGATCGTGCTTCAAATTCATAATAGGTGTGCTCGTCCCATATCTTCTCAAGATCAAAGAATGGGCCACCCATGTGATTTTTAACAAATCCGACACTTCGCGTATGAGCTATTCCTGCTGTCGATAACTTGAAATCAGGATGACCGGGGATCATGAATCCGGGCGAGGATACGTCGGAGTATATGTGTCTAGTTTTCCCTTCCTTCTTCTCGCCTTCCATTGGACTCGACAGCTGGAAAAGGGTTGACTGGAAGAATGGAATGTCCCAAGAGTCGAAGAATACTGCCGCGATCAGAGCCGTGCCTTGAGCTAGTGCACCTTGCAGACTGTCCTCGAATTGGGGAGCGTAATCTTTCTTTGACCCGTAGACTGATCTGAAGTCAGCAGAGACTAGTGGAATAACGAGGTCGACACTTCCGTACCTATCAATCCAACCTTTTCCTTCGTATCGCATTCTCGCCTCTCTGTTAAGCCACGCTCAGCTTCTCGAAGAAGCTCTCGTAGAGATGATATGTCAATGACAGATTTCTCATCCACGTTAATCTGTGCCACTGTGAAGCTTTCCTCTGCCCATTTTTTGAGAGGTTCTGGGTCAAGCGTCTTGTTTCGCTGCTGACATGTCGCGTAACAAAGAGGTCGTATGAGAATAAGTCCTGGACCGTGTCCACAGCGAGAAAGAGGAGGTTGGATGGCCACATATGGACTCAAGTCCACTTGAGCGGAAGACACACTTGACTCGGTCATTTTTCAGTCAAACAGAAGTTGGAAGTTGCGCAAACCCGGAAGCTTCTGGGCGATCGTTATATACCCGGGCTCTGTCACCCCACTCGGACCGCCAGTGAGGCCAAAGACGACGTGTAACTGGCAATAGATAGACTCTCAAAAAACTAGAAAAATCAGAAACTCATGTAATTATTGCAATTATCGTATTTATCCCATATGTTCCATCCACGTGACCTGTCATCGGAGCTCGGCCCGTTCATCTCCACACGCGAGAGCTGTCGCTCTCCTAAGAGCACAACCCGACAATGAACGCACTTGTCCAGTCTGCCCTGACTGATGTCGAATCCAAACTCAATGCTCTTCTGACTAGCCTCACAATCTCTCCCACTGCTGCAGGAGCCCCCGCGGCAGCTGTCGCCCTGCTCGATTCGGACGATGCGCTAACCTCCGCCATTGAAACCCTTCGACAGCACCAAGAAAACCACGCAAAGATCCTTCGGCTGCGAAATGAGGCACAACAACTGGAGGACCGAGTCAAAGGCATCGTGGGAGGCATTGAAGGCTTCGAGAAAGAGATCCGCACCGCTTGTGGGGGCAACGGCGACAGCGACACCGATTTCGATTCTGACTCCGATGATGACCTTGGCGGAAAGAACTCGTTGCTACGGGGAATCAAAGAGATTGACTACAGATTACTCTTGGAATTCGCACGTCGCATCAGCAAATACAACCACGAAGCAGCAGCCGATGCCGCAACAGGCGTTGTGAAACGACAGGAAAAAGGAAAACCCTTCGCCGACAAAGATGTGACGATGACGGGAATAAATGGAGAACAACCAACAGAAGAAGGCGCTGAGCCAGTAGCATCTGTCACCAAAAATGCAACGCAGTGGTTGGATGAGTCCGCGAATGTTACGCGCCAGGTCTACATGCTGCCCTACCCGATGGAGGAACGGATACGGATGGGATTGATGGGTCAAATCCAGCTTTCTGCTGGTGGCGACCCCGAAAAGGAGGTGGAGCGGTTAATACGTGAATCTGAGGGTCTTGGGGCCGCAGAACCGCCAGCACCGGTGGAACCCGCGGAAATCACAAAGCAGGCGGGCGAGGCTGCAAAGGCTGCTGCTCAGGCCGGATCATCAGCCGTTGGAATGCCGCGGGCGCATGCTCCAGCACCAGCACCGAAACCAAAGCCCAAGGCCATGCTGGACCTTGATCTCTACGACCCCGATGAAGATGAGGATTGAGTATTTTTAACGCGGGCGTTGCATTCGATTTTCATAATGATACCACCTACAACAGCACAAAAAGCCATTTAAGATATTTTTTTTTTCAACCCTTCTCATTACACATTGCATACCTCGGAGTCTTTAATCCAGCTAATACATCTTATGGACTGAAGACTTGGCCATCCATTCTTGGAACCTCTTACCATATGAGTAGAATGGGATGGTGCAGAAACTCCAAAATGCTGTCAACGACATGTTTACGTCGATTGGCTTGACAGACCTACTTTCTTCCGCCCGTGAGGTGATAAGTGTGCTGAAGCCATAGCCCCGGGGACTATCTTCATTATGTCGGATACCTCGGCTAGCGGTCCAGAAGGAGAGACCTCCTGCGCAGCCTCATCTGGGTGGATGCGATGCCTTTTTTTTTCCCATGGAAAAGGAAGGGCTGAAGCAGGAGCATCAATCTGAGCATGCCGACATTAAGCCATAAGAAGCTGTACCAGCCACTATGCTCGGCCTAGTACCTGTGGTATTAAATATGAGAGAGCTATTCAGTATGGAAATATGCTCTCTGTGGAAATTATGAGAGTGTATATACACTGAGAAGGAAAAAATTGATTTGTTTGATTCTTCATACGTACGAAAATGTATACATTTATAGATGCTACATTCCTTTAGGGATTTCTGGATGCACATGTGGTTCTATAACGACGAAGCAAGTGCTGTCACGTACATGTGTTTCCGGCCTGAATAATAATACAGAGAGATAGATAGGAACCAGAGGAGAGACTCAGATATATATATATATATACATACTTGGACAGATAACTCAGGCGGTGCCACCCACACACCTAGGGTTCTCGGCCACTCAGTAATTAAAGCGGTTCTGTGAGCAGTAGGAAGGGAAACCGATGGCTATTATTACCTTTTATTCGAGGTGTTTTAACTACTTTGCATCCTATTGTAGATGTAAATAGGGCTCGTTCACATATTTTACGCTCAAATATTTTACGCTCGGAGCAATTTTCTTTATACGTATCTCTAAACTTAAAAGTCTGCCGATAAATGCTCGCATGGCTCAGTGGTAAAGCGTATCACTCGTAATGATAAGATCCCCGGTTCAATCCCGGGTGTGAGCATCCATCAACTTTTTTTTGTGATTTTGAATGTATCCTACTCTTCAAACTAGGCGAGGATAGCATATCTGGCTAAGCCCTTTCCTCAATAAATGTAACCTAGGTAGCTCGCATGGCTTAATTAAAGCATAACTTGTTCATGAACCTTCCAAGGTTTCGAGTGACAGAATTGGCTAAGGCGGGAAAACCCAAAAAAAAGGTATTCACCGGATCTCCGAATTAAACTGTGAGGAGTTAGAATGGGCATCTCCAGATGTTCCTATGATCGGAAGCTTACAGTTTGACGCATCTACTAGGCCAGTTATGTGGAATGTGGCCGAGATTAAAGTAAAATAGCTTTAACTTGAGCTTTTTCTCCCCCTGACCTTCAAGATTGCGCCGGACTCTTAAGAGAGTGCTTGCCCCCAGCCAAGATCACGCATGTTGCTCTTCCTACTCCATAATAGGGTGATATCGAATATTGTTATGGTCGTATGTAGGTAAGCATTCCAGTATACATGCCTAGGTAGTTCTAGGTAGGTTATATAAACGAAAACTACTCCATACAACGTAAGGCCCTGGGGATACTCCCTGGAGCATTGATGTCCCGCTGAGCACTCAATTGGTGTAACCCCATGACTATTTAGATAGTGTGAGATCCCCCAGGCGCTAGCCATTCTATATAAAAAATTTGCGCCACTCTTCCACCAATCAGCTCGCATGGCTTAGTGGTAAAGCGCATGACTAGTAATCATGAGATCCTCGGTTCGACTCCGAGTGTGAGCATTTTTGACCTCCCTTTTTACACTCCAGGGCTCTATTTCTGGATTATCATTGTGCCTCGCGGACCAACACGATCTCAGGAACTCGCCAGGATCACAGCAGCCCGGAACTTCAACAACCGCAAATACAAACTGCGTCTATAGTTGAAAATTTATGTTCAGCCCCGGGGTTGTCTTGGGAGGCGTCCCGATTAGGGCAACTTGTCTGAAATGCCTTTAAGTCTCAAGTCGGTTAAGATTCAATTTTTCCAACATGTTCTCATGTCGATCCACGAGGTGAAGTCACAACCTTGAATGGATTAAAGCCGTACTACCTACCTAGGTACCAACAGCCCCCATCTTCTGACGCTCATCGGTATGGATGCCTTTGCATAGGAATTTGCGAATAACTGAGGCTATATCCTAGCTGAAACTATGCCGATACGGGAAAGTGGGTAAGCTATTAGACTAGAAGGGGGTCCCGTTAAGGCTGCACGTTAGAACAAGCTAAAGATACATGTAAATAAAGCAAAAAAATGCTCACACTCGGAGTCGAACCGAGGATCTCATGATTACTAGTCATGCGCTTTACCACTAAGCCATGCGAGCTGGTTAGTTGACGGTGCATCTGTCTCTACAAATTTCTATTAGTTGATCATATATATGAGTTTGTCAATGAATCCCCCGGCTTTATTGCCCTACCCCAACAAGAAATGGAACACCTTCTACCAAGTCCTGCAGTCAGTTCTTCAATACACCCAGGTCCAGACATGTCGTCCAAAACCGGGCTAAATGTTGAACAAATTATAATCTAATCAGATGGTGATGCATGAAATGATCACAATTTCCTAATCGGGGCAACTCCAGTGTCAAGCAGCCAAGCCTTAGGCGTCCCGGGCCCAGCTACTAGTGTCAACCACATTTCGTCGAGAGAGTCACCTGTGGTTACATTCTGCATGTATCTCCATTGCAATGTACGCTCATATACCTGCTTGGGTGGTCGAATAAATACAGTAGTTTCCGAAATCCGTTTTACCTTCACACTCTTATGTAGTTCACAGCCAAGTGGAGTTTGCCCCACTAGGCAAAAGCCAAACAGCCGTACTAAATAGACCTGACAAAACAAGGCCAATCGCGATATGTGCGATACAAAGATCTGTATATCAATCGATCGACATTTGAGTATTCCGGTGCCCTCGTACAGAGTACATCACGTATGACAAGCTCGTCTATACATATGTACGCGTGCCGTGGGATTAGCGACTGGGGTATTAAGGGTTCCAACGAGTTTACCTACAGTCTGCTTGGCAAGGACTTGGGGCGGTATATTAGTTTCTGGCAAGGAAGAGACGGGTGGCAGCCTAGGAGCCATTAGCTTATACTCAATTATAAGGAATAGGACTTTGTCAGGAAGAAACCCGATTATGGGTATGGTACTGTACATATGTATGTAGCAGGTAGAATCCATCACTTGACCGCTTATTAAACAAAGTAAGTGGCCACTGAGTAATCACTTTGTGCTGCAAAATGCTCAGTGCACATATGTTATGTAGTAGTACCTAGGCATGTCTTGTTTTTACCGTTTTGAGTCTATGTGTGCCTGACGGCTGTTTACCAGGACTTTCTCCATACACGTTTCTTCCATAGTCATTCATGACCTTTATCCCGGATTCGCTATCAAAGTTGCCCTCTTCGTACCCTTATTAGGAATATGTAGTACCGCACGGGAGAATATTCCGGACCATTTCACCGATTATCTCCTTGTCTTCAAAAGGTTCAAGAATTTGGACCCAAACATGTCTGCGCAGTCGGATTATAATTGCGGCCTGTCAATCCCCAGAGTGTGGAGGGAAGAAGATCGATGAGCCCAATGATGATCGATCGAGTCATGATCCCCGGATGTCACCTCCACACCACGAAACACGCGAAGAAGCTTGGTGAAGCTTGGTCGAGCCAGACTGTGCTGATCGCCCGGACCAATCGGAAACACGGATATTTTATCTACAGAGTCGATGTAATGGACTCTTGGCATTTCTCTGGACACCCAAAAGCATTTAATTAGACTCTGGCCCGGTTTATGCCTTGTGTCCAGAATGGCGGTTCTTGTCATTTTGGGTGCTATTTTGCTGAGAGCTCTTGAATTGATTTTGTCAGACATCTCACTACAATGAGTCACTACGAACACCCTTTCTCCAACCAAGATCTGGCAGACGGAGACGCGGAAAAGCAAGATGACAGTGATGAAGTCCATTCTCCTGGGGGTACCTCCAGGCCCAGCCGCCGAAAGAAAGAGGGCGCGGATGGAGCTGTTGATGGAGATGACAGACAAGAGTTGAAAGAATGGGAGTGCTACGACAAGCTAGGATATTCGTATCCCTGGTGGAAGAAATGGGGTATCCTCTCCGTCATCTTTGCTGTCCAAACATCCATGAACTTCAATGCCAGTTTCTATGCCAGCAGCATCACCCTGTACTCGAAACACTTCAGCATCTCAGAGCAGGCCGCACGTGTTGGCCAGATGGCATTTCTGGTTGCTTATGCGTTTGGCTGCGAGTTTTGGGCGCCCTTCAGCGAAGAGTTTGGTCGATGGCCAATAATGCAGCTCAGCTTGTTATTTGTCAATATCTGGCAGCTCCCTTGTGCTCTGGCTCCCAACTTTGGCACCATTGTTATCGGCCGCCTTCTCGGCGGCGTATCCTCCGCCGGTGGTTCCGTAACGCTCGGAATGGTAGCAGACATGTGGGAGCCAGAGGGCCAACAGTATGCTGTGGCCTTCATTGTTCTATCCTCCGTGGCAGGCTCTGTCCTTGCGCCAATCGTTGGAGGCTTCGTTGCAACCTTCCTTGACTGGCATTGGAATTTCTGGATTCAGCTTATCTTCGGAGGTTCTGTGCAAATATTGCACTTCTTCGTTCCAGAGACCAGGTGCGGCATCCTCGTCACTAGAGAAGCTAGGCGAAGACGGAAGAACGGGATTATGGTATGGAGTGGTGACGAGCTGAAGAGAACTCGCATGTCCTTCCGTTGGATCTTCATGGTTTGGATACGCCCATTTATTATGTTCGTCCGCGAGCCTATCGTATTGTGCCTCTCTCTGCTCAGCGGCTTCAGCGATTCACTCATCTTCACTTTCCTTCAATCGTATACGCCGGTATACAAGCAATGGAACTTCACTACGATTACAACTGGACTTGCATTCATCCCGTGAGTACACACGACATTTGAATTTAGGTGAGTTCTAATAATTGGTTATACAGAATTATGATCGGCTATTTCATTGCCTATTTTTCGTTCATTCCATGGATCTATCGGCACTGCAAGATTAGAGAGAAAGACCCAGATGCTCTTCTGCCGGAATCTCGTCTTTATTGGTTGCTTTGGAGTAAGTTTTCTCATGTTTGATCTGTTGGTCTTATTACTTACTGGTGACAGCGGCTCCTCTGTTGACAATTGGCCTGTTTGGGTTCGCGTGGACTAGTCTTGGTCCACCTCATGTCCATTGGATTGCGCCTATGATCTTCTCGACCTTGATAGCCATTGCTAATGTAAGTCAAGAAAGAACCTATCCCTTGATACAACACTGATAGCCTATTCTGTGATCAAGTATGCCATTTACATGGCCACAATTGACTACATGATTGCCTCGTATGGTCCATATGCCGCCTCCGCTACAGGAGGAAACGGATTCGCGCGTGATTTCTTGGCCGGTATTGCAGCGATGTACTCAATGCCTAGTAAGTGACCACAGTTCTATAACAGAATATCCCCTGACCACGAAATACAGTGTATGCAAACATGGGTACAACGCACTCCCTTGAATGGGCTTCCACCTTCTTGGGTTTCATGGCAATCCTCTTCACCATTCCAATATACGTATTCTATTGGAAAGGCCCTAGGATTAGGGAACTGTCACCATTCGCACAGACCTTGGAGTCCGACAGAAAGCAGGCTGGCCGCAAGGTTTCTGCCTGTGGTTCCGGTGATCCAGATCCTGTCGAAAGGTATCTGTCTGAACGTTCCTTGTCGGAGACCAGAACCAGATCGGGTTGAAAGGTATCTGTAATGTTCCTCGGAACCAATCCCATTGAAACATGAAGATGGTATATGTCTCTAGCTTCGCCGTGACTCGGGCTCACACCAGAACGGTGGAAAGAAAGAGTATGCATTCATTGATACAGGATGTAAGAATATTTTGCATCGAAAAGCTTCTCTTTGGTTTTATGGAGACATTACTCGTGCTGATCTCAGTTTCTGTTTGGCCTTCATCACTCCTAGATTAAGGAACTGTTTTTATTTTTATTTTATTGTTTTGATACATGTTAAAATGGACTTGCCTCAAATTTTCTGCAATGTATCTGCTACACAAACTTATGCGTGATACAAGAATGCCATCATCCCATCAAGCTCTAGTCATGTCATAGCCAACACGTTGGAAATAATTCCCGATGAAGCACGAGTGGCGATATCCTTCGTATCTATAAGTGTACTTTGCCCACAAGAGTGTTTAAAATTAAATAAAAAGTATATATTTACATACAGTATAGGGCATGGTCACTCAATATATAAACGCATATCAAGTAAAATCATTGGTTCCAAGAGTCCTGGAGTTTCCGAATGGCATATTCAGTGCTCCAACCCAAATCAGCTTCGACGCCCCGTAGCAGATCAACGATAATCTGATGTTCCTCCGGATTTTCAAGGCACTGTCCGACAGCGACAAGAAGCGGGACCATATATATGCGAACTGCACCCTGGGGGCGACCCAATGCAATACCGCTGAGTTCACGGGAACGGAACTCGACCTCTTTCGTGACCTCCCGATACCCTTGTAAGCGGTCAAAGGCTGTAGACGGTGCACTGATCACATCTGCCGGACGGTTGAGCAATAATGCGATGCGGCCGAAATGGTAATGTTGCATGGCAGCGGCACAAGTTGTCAAGCTGTGGAATATTTCAGGGAATGGCAAGTAACTCCCTTCGGCAGACTTTGATAGATCCTTGGGGCGTTCGATCCGCACAGAAGAACGGAACGTTTCGGGCAGATTTTCAAACCATGTCTGAAATTCGAAGCATAGTTTGAGCCAGGTATCTGTGTCCGGATATGGCAGTTGAGCGGCGTCTGTTGTTGTGCCCTGGATTTCGGGTGAAGCTGCCGGTGATCCTGTCCACTGCGCGAGCTGTAATTGCTTAGACCTACTGAGGAAGTTGACGACTTTTGCGACAAGCCAGATCAAGCCATTAGCAGCCTGGTCTTCCTGCGATAGAGTGGACCCATTCCGGATAATATGGAAGGCTTTCTGATCATTGATTGAAATTCCTGCTGCCTGCCAGAGGGGCAGGTTCTCCGGGTCGAAATGTGTAGGTGATCGGGTGAAGTAAGCACCGAGATAGTCTTGGCGAGCGAAATTCCAAAAGGCAGCCTGAATGCCATGGGAAAACAGGGCTGATGCTGCGGCATGTGAACTGAGAAGAGACTCAAATAAAGGGCGAATGCGAGAAAGTTGCCTGGGGTCTAAGTATCAGTAATAAAACAGCAACTACCAACGGGGATGTCTTACATGTGCCACTCGTCCCCAGGCATATCTAAAAGCCTGCACATGGTAAGAAGCGTAGCAGTCGCCAACAG